TTACACGTTTACTGAATTTTTCTTTCTTTGTATACTTATATGACAATTTCATTATTGCTGCTAACAGACTATTGAATGTAGTCTAAGCTTCTTGGAAGTTCTTTTTGTCCTTAAAATGTATCCTGTTAGAAATGTACAGTCACACTAATGTGTTTTCAAGTCTGGTGAAGTAAATATTTTCAGTGTGTATGTGCCACCAACTTGATTTTGTTAGACTCAGTTGTTTCATTTTGTTTAAAATTTGGGGGGTGTCCCCTCTACTAGTTGCATAGTCCCAAATTCAAATCCATGTAACAAGTTATACTCAGAGAAATCTTGCTTCCATTCCTGACCTCTACAGGTATCCATTTTTGTTAATTTTTGTATGTCCTCTTTTTAAAAATATAAACAAATTGTACACACACTCACACATACATTTTTTTTCCACCTTTCTTTTTTTACTTATTATAATTTGAAGATATAGATTGAGTATATATGAGGCGGTCTTCAGAAAGTTTATGAAAAGACTTGTGTTATCTTTTAATTCTGTTTTCCAGACTTTTTGAAGTACCCTTATACTACTGATCTTTAATTCCATTTTTAAACTAACTTGTAATCTATTATTTGTATGTATCATTGTTTCTTCAACTGACAACTAATTGATGGAACTTTACAAATATGAAAAATCATGAAACAATTTTTATTTGTTTTTTCACATAGGGCCTGGGACTGCTTTGTTCGTTGCCTGGATCATGCTTATCTCGGCTCCCTTCTCAGTCATGTAATAGTGGCTTTGTTACCTCTCATACACATCCAGCCTAAAGAAACTGCAGCTATCTTTCACTACCTCATAATTGAAAACAGGTATTGTAACTGGAATTAATAATAAAACTACCACCTTTTCCACTGTATTTTTATGTATCAATATATTAAGATTTCTATTGGTAATGAGGAACTGTTCACTTTTTTTATTTTAGAGTCCATTAGTAAACAAAAGTAATTGGCATGCAATTACATATTGAACTGGTGTTATTTCGGTTGTGGCATTGCTTACATTATCATTATATTGAAAACTCTATTAATAGGTCAGTAGTTAAAAAATATTTTTTGTTCTGAAAGGATGAAGCCAAATTTACCTTTTTTCTCACAGTTAAAGGGCAGATTGTGAAATAGCATGAGAGAGGTTAGGAGGGATATTCATTTACTTTTTGCAGCTTACTTTAGTTGAATCTCTTATTACTTCATTGCATTAACCTTTGAGCCAGCTTCCATTCCTTTAAGCTTTTATCACTTTTCTTCATATTTGTTTTAGTCAATTTCTGTTGCTTATTACAAACTATTTGAAACTGAGTGATTTATAAAGAAAATGAAATTTATTGTTTACACGTCTGGTGAGAGCCTTGGTGGTGGCGACCGTGATGGCAGAGTATCACATTGCAAAAATGGTAGAGCAGAGAGAGGAGAGACTAACCTCCTCATTCTCATTTTAAAACCCTCCAAACCACACCCCTGACCACCATTATTAATTAATACATTCACTATAGCATGGTCCTACAATCTAATCAACTCTCCAAGGCCCCACCTTGCAATTACCAAAATGGGATTTCCCACACTCAGCAGTTACAGTGGGAGTTAAGTTTTGGAGGAATATCCAACCCAAGGCAATAATGTTGCTAGAACAGTCTTTTAAAAACATTTCTTTGTATCAAAGAGCATACAAAGGTGTTCTGTGATTCTCCATTTCCTAACTGATAAGTTTCAAATTGCTTAGCTTGATGTTCAAGGCTTTCCAAAATCTGGCCACACCTTATTTCTTAAAATCTTTTACTGTAGTTTTCCAAACTGGGCACTAGGCTATAGCCAATGTGGACTGCTATTGACAGAACTTGCATTACTCCTTCCCATTTGTATTTTTGACTCAGGCTACTTTTTAGCCTGGAATGTCTTCCTATATATTTTTTAATGTTTTCTGTTATTTCACTTACTGTTGTATATCACAGTTCCTTTGCTCCTGAAAAGTTAGGTTTTAAGTTCTACTTATTTGCCTGCTCGCCTGTGTGCTATTGCTATTCCTTTTAATCAGTTCCAGTAACTGTCCAGCCAGGCAGATAGCACACAGAAAGGAAAGGTTAATGTGTTAATGTGTTTTTATTCAACTAAAATACTTTTATTTTTGATATTTTGATATTTTGTACGTGATAGAACAACAAAATCACTAATTTAGGTCACTTTTTTGAATGTCTTTTAGATTGTTATGCAAATACAGTTATGCATCACTTAGTGATGGGGGTGGGTATACTTCTGAAAAATGAGTTCTTAAGCAGTTTCGTCATTGTGTAAACATCATAGAGTGCACTTACACATACCTAGATGGTACAACCTACTACACACCTAGGCTATATGGTGTAGTCTCTTGCTCCTAGGCCACAAATCTGTACAGCATGTTACTGTACTGAACACTATAGACAATTGTAACACAATGGTAAGTATTTGTGTATCTAAACATATCTAAATATAGAAAAGACAGTAAAAATATGGTATGATAATATTATGGGACCACCATTATGTATGTGGCCCGTTGTTGACCGAAATATTGTCATGTGGTGTGTGTCTATAATCATATCTTTGCTGTTTATTATAGAGGAATCATTTCTCTACATTTTTCATATTACAAGAAAAGTCCTTTTTCTCTCAGTGCTAGACAGAAGATTTAAGCTCCCTGAATGAAGGAATTATTTTGGCTTTGTTTATTGTTCTATCCCCAGCATCCCTCATAGTGTTTAGCACATAGTAGCACATAGTAGTTATTTAATACATATTTGTTGCATGAGTTAATGAGACTAGAATTTAGAAACACTTATACTTGGACCCAGAAAAATTATTTATTATATTGGATTCAAATTAAAAATTGTAACCTCAGTAAGGATTATTTTTATATTTTCACTGTAGTTCTTTATGAGAATTTGTTTGCGGCGAGGCTTTGGCCATTTATTACTACATTATAAATCACTCCAAAACCTAATGTCTTAGAACAATGAACATTTTTATTTGCTCATAATTTTGCAATCTGGGCTGTGCTCAGCTGTTCTGTTCTTCTGCTGGTCTTGCCAGTGGTCATAGGTGAGGCCACATCAGCTGGCAGAGACTGGTCTGGCCTTCTCCCTCTATCCATGCGGTCTCAGAGCCTCTCTCCCTCTATGTGGCTTGTCCATGTTGGTGGCCAGACTTCTTACATGGTGATTCAGGGATCTCCAGAACACAAAAATGGAGGCTGTCAGGCCTTTTTAACACCTAGACCCAAAACCAACACAGCATATCTTCTGCCAGTCTATTGGCTAAAGCAAGCGACATGCCCAACCCAGATTAAAGAGGAATAGACTATATATTTGGGTGTGCATACTGACAAGCATGGTTTATTGAGGGCCACCAGACTATCATAGGGTGATTTTCTTAGCTTCGGTTATTTGCCTCTGTTAATTTAGCTGAAAATCTTAGACATTGTTAGGAAGAGTTCTTTGCATGTCAGTAATGAACTCGCACTTTTAAGTGAATTAAGTTGGCCTTAGTTTCATCTTCTGCTTTACATTTTTTCAGTATTCGTACTCTTGGCAAATAATGCTTTTTATTCCAACTAACTACCAGGGATGCTGTGCAAGATTTTCTTCATGAAATATATTTTTTGCCTGATCATCCAGAATTAACAAAGATAAAAGCAGTTCTCCAGGAATACAGAAAGGTATTTAATTTTTTATTTATGGTTTGAGAGATCATTGATACATTCCAATACAATTCAATACATTGACTAAAGATCCTTTGGAATCATCTCTAGGGATAATATAGTCATATTCTGATGGCTAATTCCTGGTGACTGTATAATGCTACTATGAATCCATGACTTTTGGAGGGAAGTGTTAGCATTTAGATTAAAGATGTAATGGCATTAGATAGGACAAAGAGCAAAGAATACAGTTCTTGTGACTTTACTACCCAGGTCTGTATGTCCTTACTTACAGTCCCCAAAAGAGGAAGCCACTACTGCTGCATGCCATGAGAAGAAAGAAAAGCTGTGGGATGATTCTAGTTTTGTTTTGCTATAAACCATGGTATAGAAATGTCAGATCTGAATGATTCCTGAGCTTTAGAAGGGGAGTAATCTCTAGTTTCAGTATCTTCAAGTCTAGTGAGCTCTCTGAAATTATGAAAGTATAAATGGTGATTCCATAGCACTTCAGGACAGACAATGGGATATCTGAACTTGGGGGTCGCTTTGGGTAGTGAAAGGAAGGAGTGAATATCTGCATAATCTATAGACCTAGTTCAAGTCTATTATGTAGTCCTCTGTAAGTTAGGGGAAACTTGTACTTCTTGTCAAGAAGCATTATTTTTAGATAAGTAGATTATTTAATTGGAATAAAATTTTTCTCCAGGTCTAAAGATTTTAGAATAAAATCATTTTCCCTGAGAACTACTAAAAATTATACATGCCGTAGAAAGGAAGAGATAGAAATTTTATTATTTTTTAAAACTGATTTTATTGATGTATAGTAGCGAATTCAGGCCTTTAGAAGTGGTTGTTAAAATAGTTAATAAGGTATGTCTCTCTGCACTCTTTATATAGGAGACTTCTGAGAGTACTAATCTTCAAACAACTCTTCAGCTATCTATGAAAGCAATTCAACATGAAAATGTAGATGTTCGTATTCATGCTCTTACAAGCTTGAAGGAAACCTTGTATAAAAATCAGGTACACTAAGGTGATATCATTAAATAGCCATAGAAAGGAAATATTTGAGGTTTAAAGAAAAGATGACAGATTGGCATTTTTGTTTGACATTCAGTAGATTCAATGAAAGAAGTTATTTTTATTTTACCTAGATCTTGAGATCTGACTAAGAATCAGTAATTCATGAGATTCCCTTTGAGCCTGAATCCCAGAGATTTGTAGAATTTTTTGTTGTTTTTGAAGAGTCATGATTTGATGGTTATACTTTACGTTACTGCATCTTCCTCAGTTACGATGTATATGTTTGTATACCAGCAGTTTATGTTTACATAAAATGTCGGCAATTTTGCCATTCTACACTTTGATTGAGTTAACTTTGTTAATTTTAATGAAGCTAAATTTTTAAGTTTACTTTTTCAAGGGGCTGGGGAACTTTATTCTTTTCCTTGGTAACATTATGTAGATTATCTCTAACCTTGTGATATGAGAATTAGCATTTAAAATACCAGAGTCCTATAAACATATACATTGGAAAAAAATTAACCAAATTACTCATTTTTGTGTATCAAGAACCCATATGGTAAAATGTGAGAGCCCATGAGTTATTGTATTACAAAACTGGGTTGTTTCTTTCCATGATAGAAGCAAGTATTTACTTAGAACAAAAGATATACGTGATGGTAGTGAGTTCATGGCTTCTGGGGCAGTCAACTTGTATAACCAATGTGTGTAGCAGCCAATGTGGAGATGATCCCACCAGATGTGAGGAGCCTCGAATCTCCTCCAGTTTAGGTTTTATGCTGTCCTGTGGATCTACATTGTCAATGTTATTGCCTCAATCCTTGCCTTAAACTACAGTGAATCTACTCTGTGCTTGGCCTTTGCCCTAAACCTCTACCTGGGTTCCAGATAACTTAAAGGTCTCCCAGCTTTTTAATTTAATATAGAGACATGAATAACAAAGAGTCTCTCCTGTTGGCATGGAGGTTTTCTAGTTTAGGTTATTTCCAAACAGATGGCATGGTCATAGTTTAACATAAGGAAACTTCATCTCAGTCATCTCTTGTAGATGTAAATGCCTAAATCTGAGAACTCAGGGAGGTTTCTTACACTCTTTGGGGAAAGCTACAGCTGCCCCACTTTTGCCACCTGTGCCACAAAGATATATTACAGGTGGTAATTCCCTGACTGGGGTTCCTTCAATGTAAAGACCCAGTGCTAATAGATTACCTAGGTGTTGCTTTGTTGCTTCACCCCCCACAGATTTGTTACCCCTCTTCCCCTGGGTGATGGAGATGCAAAGGATTACTCAAAGCCCATCTCTTTTGAGCAGTGAGAGTCCCCAAAGTGGTTAACTTCCCTGGGAACCCTCCAGTGAGAGGGATCCCTTCCTCGGGAAATTAATGCCAAATTGGGGTTCTCTTCTTGCATTTATTTTCCAAACCAGGAAGTTACAGGAAGACAACATAGGTGGGGTTATAGTTTAACAGTATAGGCTGGTAACTTTCAGTGAAACAAGCCAGATGACATTCCAGTAGACAATTAAGTGATCGTATCAACATAAACTTGATCTTAGCAAACATTCCTTCTTACAGCAATTTCTCAGTATCTTTACATAACAATCAGTAACTAGTCTGTCCTTGAGCCAGCAACCCTGCTGTGCCACAAACCTTTATCTTACACCAGAGACTTACAGCCAGAGGGAAATGTCCTGTCCTTGCAAGGTCAATATTGGAAACTGCAAGACTTTGGAAAACCAGGCCCTGTGAAGTACATATGCTTTTTAGTATATTCCACACCTAGGCAGAATAAGAAGGGAATTGTACTTGCAGAAGTCCTGAGGGTCAGATTGAATAGTCTGAATAAGATATAATGGCCATAGATTGTTTTTTACAATCTGTAGCATTAGGCCATGGGATTTTTTTTTAACATAAGGATTAATTTAGTTTAGCATCTATATCTAGCTAGATAAATTTACGGTAGGTTGATTAAAAAAAAAATTAAAGGGAAGGAGGGCTTCAAGGATCCACGGGGACATAAGAAAAGAACAAGAGTCCAAAGACACATATCTTCCCCAGCAGATACTGGCCCAGAGAGAGACAGAAATGGATTCTTTCCCAGCTGTGGCAAGAAGATAGCATCAAAGTTGAAGATTGTTGAATTAAGCTCTAGAATAGCACTATCCAAAAGAACTTTTTGTGAGAATGAAACTGTTCTATATCTGCACTGTCTAATGGTAGCCACTAGCCACATGTGGCTCTCTTGAGCACTGAGGAACAGAATTTTTAATTTTAAGCTAAATAGCCATATGCAGACAATGGCTATTGTATTGGTGAGTACAGCTCTACAAGATGGCTGAGTCTATAGGAATGCCAGAGCATGAAACTGATGTAAGATAATAGGGTAACAGGCCAAAGAGTCTCTTTAGTGGATACTGTTAGAGTCCGTGAAAATACAAATGCAAAAGGTATTGTTTTAGAAGTTCATATCTTAGCCACAGGGAGAGAAAAAGACAGTCTAAGAGTAGTTTGAAAGGAGGTGTTTATTTTTAAATAGACCTAAAGTTGTGGTACAACTGGCTTAACAAATGTTTGGGTATAATGTGGCAACAAAGCAAACTCCAAAAGGTGATGTGAAAATTAATAAAGTGGTAGTTGGTGTAGCCTTAGATACTTGACTATTGTAATGGAGCGACCCTGCAAAAGCCCTGTACTGATGGGTAGCCACCATACAGTCACTGATGTTGAAGAGATGACAGCTTCTACTTCTTACTTTTAAGGAGGAATATACATTTTTGAAGGAATAAAGGACTACTAAGTTAAGTGGATGGCAGAAAATTTTGACTCCTATGTCCAAAAATCAGGCTAAAGATCGAAGTAAGAAAACATATAATCTCTTCCTGAAAATCGATGCTATTCAGGTTGAATAAATCCATTTGGTGAAATCCCAGAAGGATAAGAAGTCTATAAGAAGCCAAGATAAATTTTGAAGGCAATGCAGAATTCTAATAAAAACATGTATTTTACTTGATTACAAATCAGAGAAGAACCCACTGAAAATAGTGCTGCTAGAGACTTGCAGGATGTCCTAGGATAATGGTGGATGCCTAATTCTGAATCTCTACATACCCTCCAAAACATCATAAAAAGCAACAAAGGAGAGCAAATAAAGCCATACATAATTCACAACTTCAACATAACTATGAGACTCAGATTACTATGAACTTTAAATTACTTGTAACTAGCAGAGGTATCTCTGGAGCTCATGTCTCAAGCTCGTGTTGAGACCAGTTAGATTCTAAGGAGACTGTATAAAAAGGAAGAAAGTGGAGAAAGAGGAACCAAGAATGATGGAGCAAAGATAAAACCACCAACAAAAAGGGGCAGTCCCACTCTAAGTGCAACATTACTCAAAAAAGGTCCAAAATGTGGTACATCAGAGTATTGATTACAGGGAAAATACATCCCAAGGTTGTAATCTCTGCAAATCATTATTTCCAGGAAGAAGTAAAAGAATAGGGAGGGGAAGGTACTCTTTGTAGACGTAATTATAAACAGAAAGAAAAAAGTAAGAGGGAGAACTTGAAGGGTCCTGCAGAAATAAACGAAATTTACAAATTGAAGACCTACCGTATCCATTCCCTCCTGCCTGCCACCCCACCCCATTGCACTTCACTATGCTGATGTGGGTACTCATGAGATAGGAATCTTGAAAGCACTACAAAATGCTTACTCTTACTAATAGAGCTGTTACGGAGGGTCCACACTATGAAAAGAAAAAATATGTATTCTATGTGCATACAAGGTTACTGTAAGACAAAAGAGAAAATGAAAATAAAGTCTTTCAGTTGATGACAATTCCTTTTAAAAACTAGTTGGTGGAAGACAGTGAAAGAAAACTGAACTTAGCACTGTAACTTAAATCAAATATTTCAAGCAAGTATTTACAGATATTTAAAATTTTTTCAATAAGAAATTGAAAAAATGAGAGAAATGGACAAAAACCAAGAAGATATGAAATGAAAGTGGCTGAACTCGGGAAAGAAATTGAAGAAATGAAAATTAAATTACAAAGATCACAGGGTAGAATTTATTTGACTGAAAATTTAGTAAGGGGCAATGAGTAAAAGCATACAAAATAATCGAGAACAAAAATGAGGTAAAGAAAGTAAAGAAAATCAAAGAAAAAGTAGTGACGGAGGATTGGCAAAGAAGATTTTACGTACAAATAATTATATTCTGTGAAGAAAAAAACCAAACAATAGAACAGAATTGATATTTAAAACTATAATCCACAAAAGCTTTCTGGAAATAAAAGACTAATCTACATATGGAAAGGACCCATTGTGTAATGGAGAAATTTGGCCCCAGAATAGTCCATTCTAAAACATATCCTAGACATTAGTAATAAAAAATCTTCAGGGTTTACAGGCAAAAAAAATTTTTTTGAAAAATCACTTCCAAGGGCTAGAAAAGTAGGTTGGTCTTATAGTAGGCAATATTCAGAGTGGGTCTAAAGGATAGCATCATTTTCAAAAGCATCAAGGCCTTAAAGTATGAGTCAAGAAAGAGCCAAGCTTCCTTAGAGTATCATGAATAAAAACATGTTTTAAACATACAAGACTTTAAGGAACACTGTTTTTACAAGTGAGCCCTTCCTAAGAGATATATTAGAGGATGTTTTATTCAGTCAAGAAATGACTGGGGAGACTTTGGCAAAAGGACTATGGCTACTATTTATATATAGTCATGTGCTGTATAGCAACATTTCAGTGAAGGATGGACCACATATACAACAGTGGCTATATCATGTAATGTAGATGTATATAGTAAGACCATAGACTCTTTGTTTATGTAAGCACTTTCTTTGATGTTCACATAATGACAAAATCACCTAACAACACATTTCTCAGAATGTATCCCCATAATTCAGCCACACATGACTGTATTTAACTGTAGATCTAAGACTAAATCAACAGTGAGTCAAAGATGGGAGAATTGTGTGTAAATGTTACTTATTCT